TGATAAGAAAAATAATTAAAAGAAATAAAGGTTTTGCGCTGTCATTTGTAACTTTAAAACTTAAAAGTGTTGTTAATAATATATTTATGATTATTAAATAATATATTTTATTGTATAATATATGAGTATATTTCCCAACAGAATACCACAAAAATAACGATTTTATACATAAAGTTATAATTGCTGACAGTACATTACACAAGCGCATAATGTAATAGTCCGTGTGGTATATATAGGTTAGAATAAATATACACAAGACTGTTCTAATGCAGAATAATAATAGTATTGGTGTATATTGCCTACGTATTACACATCCATTACATGTTGTATAAATATAACAGCTCCATATGATTTTAATAATTCTAAAACGGTAAGATACACAATATAGTATGAAATAAAACGGTATTAGGATATAGATTTCATTGATATATTTATTAAATTGATGGTACTTAGTACATTTAATTGTTAATAAGTTAAGAGCGCAGAAGATACATAAAATATTCGCTTGTTTTTTACACAAGTACACCCCGTTGTTAGTCACAATACCTTCACAATAAGAACCACACAAAATATAGACGTATGAATTATATATAATATAATAATGTTTTCCAGCAACTTCATGGCTCACAACAACAACCCATATAAGATAAATGTTACTCATTATTGGCAAAAAGATAGATACAGATTTATTTAAGTATTCACAAAAAATTGATCGTTTATTAAAGTTTTTTAATTTTTTAAATGTCTTGTGCCAAGTAGAAAATAATAATTTACTATAGAGCTCATACAAAACATAAACTTTGCACAAGTTATTATGATTTTTAATCGAGTAAATATTATAAAAAGGTATACCACACCCAATACAAAAAATACACATCCTTAGTATTAAAAATGAAATATAGAAATTATGCATAACATAGAAGTCTCCAGGAACATATATTTTACTTAATTTTAGAAATGTCCTGCATCGAGCGAATTGCAAAAATTGGTGAAGTGTCAGATTTGCGCAATAAGATGACGCCGTGTTTGACCCACACGTACTTGTAATCATGTTTCTTTGCAACTTCACGGGATTGACGAAATAAAATTTTGTTACTTAACGTTAAGTGTTCATTTACGTAAACAATTGTTTCGGGTCCGCTGATAGACAACTTAGTGGTATTCATTCCTTTAGCTAAACGGCAGGCTGAGATAATATTGTCACGTAGTATTGTTGATGTCAATTTAACTATTATATTTTTTGGACGTGTCGTTTGTGGATCGGCGTGGGGTACCCGATGAATAGCCAGAATATCTGTTGAACAAATTGGTTGCTTGATAACATTTCCAAGATTTTGCATCATACTGACTAAATTTTCCCCACGGCGCTCTGGGAGGTTACATATTTCTAAATTATTTTGCCTAGCCTGCTGTTCCATTAAGGATATCTTGTTTTCTAATGTCTTTATTTGATCCACAAATTCACTTGTATCAATAATACTCGTTTCCATTTCCTTCAATCGGTTATCGAAAGAATCTTGCCTATCAGAGGAGAATTCTTGCGATTTCTCAATCTCAGTTAAGCGCGTATCTACCTTCTCCAAACATTTATTAATTTTAATGTTGTCGGATGTGAGTTTCTTAATATTTTCGTTCAACTCTGCCAGCGATGTTGTTATTTTGGACAATTCGTTAGTGATAGCAACAGTAACCGCAGCCGACACGCTATTTGTTATGGAGTCCGTAAATTTCTTGTCCCAGGCTAAGAGTTGCAGGTTGAACTTTTCATTAAATTGTTTAAGATCTTCCATAGTACACGTATCTCCATGGTCCGGCTGCTTACGTTTTCGGGTATTGATATTGCCTTCATTAGTAACAGATACGGGTATATTTGTATCTGATGAACATTTATTTGGCGGAGTATGTTGCAATGCCATTATTATGACGTAGGTACTCTCGAGCTGCACCAATGCAGGGGAAAGTCAAGAGTGCGAAGGATAAGAAAAATATGTTTTGTCCTTCAATTGGAGGAGGTGAAGCACGTATTCCCCTCTGTGACAGCCGCGTGATGCGATGCCAGAAAAGGACACAAGTAGCAATTTCACTGGTGCCCCTTATCACTCATATATTCGGCAACACAAACAATAATACACCAATTAGTATCACACAAAAGGATGAGATTGCAATGACACTATTATTCTGCGAAAAATAAATGCACAAGCGCGACCACTCTCAACAACAGATCGGACCAAACGTCTTTGAACCCGTTCTAACTTGATCATTTTCGATTCACATGCGCCACCCCACACGGAAACGCAGTAGGATAAAATTGATTGAACCAGTGAAAGATAAACTGTTTTGAGTAGTTTTGGTTTTAGAACATTTCTAAGCTTTTTAAAGACCCATATTAATTTTCTTGTTCATGATGATAAATTAATTAATTTGTTCATTCCATGAAAGGGCTTCACCTATTTGAACGCCCAGGTACTTTAGATTACTTACTCTGTCCAATTTTAGGCAATTACACATGGGCAAACATACGGAAGTATCAGAGGTACGGATTTCTTATTTATACTGAAGGTGATATATTTAGATTTAAGAGTATTGAGAGTCAGGAGATTTTTATTTAGCCATGATGATATATGCGCCAAAACTGTCTCGGTAGATTTTTTTAATAAGCCTCAAGTCTCCCATTTAAATACGATTGCGGTGTCATCTGCATATGTAAAGATGCTACCATTGGGAGGATTGGCCTATAACGCTTCCCTGCGGTACCCCGCAAGTGATAGGCAGTTCAGAGCTGCACAAACTACAAATTTTGACAATCTGAGTCCTGCTTGTAAGAAAACTGCGAAGTAATTTGAGAGGAATACCTCGGATACCAATAGAGTGCAGCTTATGTACAAGGATTGGTGTGGAAACCATGTCGAAGGCCTTCGCTAAGTCAAGGAAAACTCCAATGCATTTTCCCTTACTGTCTAAAGTTTTGGCTACTATATTAACTAGTTCTGCGACTCCGATTCCTGTTGATGTTTTTGGTTCAAAATCGTATCGAGATTCGGATATAAGTTTATTTTCAGTAAAATAATTAATTAGGCGTTTGTTTATTAACTTTTCTAGGATTTTGACATGGATGTGAGCACTGATATAGGATGATAGTTCTCGACACGGTCTCTGCTGCCATCCTTGTGTATTGCATAAATTATGGATTTTCTGAAAACTTGCAGGACAAAATTGGGGCAATAGACTTATGAATTAGTTTAAAAAATAAGGTTGGTATTTCATCTCATCCCGTGGCAGAATCATTTTTCAAGTGATTTATTATGTTTCCTACTTCCACTTCATCCGTCGGAAACAAAGCAAATGAGTTAAAAGGAGAGGAAGAATCTGGTTCCTTGTTTGTGTTTGATATGACAGGGTTGTCATTGATAATTATTTTGCTCGCAATAGTCCAGTCGGAATAGCCATAATTTGGACCGACTTCTATTCTAAGACACCAGCGCTTAGCCAATTTTTTCCTAGGTAGTATAGACCCCCACGAATATGCCCTCCATTTGTCCCCGCTAGAACCCGTGTTTTGTAGCCAGGAAAATTGTTTAAACAAAGAAAAACCGGGTTTTTTGAGTTTTTTTGCTTGTAAACGGGGATTTAGAAAATTTTTTTGAATCAAAGTTGTTCATTAGCTTGCCCTCTACAAAATCAGTTCTATGAAAAAATAACGTGAGATTGTTAGTTTAGCAGTAAATTGCAATTATGTCGGTTTTACGTTTGCAACAATTCAACATGTTATAATAAACATTTTGATTTCTAAAGTAGTTTATCATGTGGGTAACGCCACTCCCAAGAGAGTCATGTAAAATTTATCGACCTGTGTCGCAAACTTTAGCAACAATTCTCAATCTCCGAAAAAAAAGTACTTGCCTGTCCCGTCTTTCCCAGAAGGCGCACAGCGGGAAAAAAATTTCAGGTGATTCGATTCACCAAGAATTTTGAGGAATCGATCGAGTAGCAAAAAATCGTTAGTAAAAATGTTCGTTTTTGGACGATTTAATTTTTTTTTAAAAATTGACGTGGAATAATTTTTTTTCTTAAACTAATGTATTTTTCTCTCCTTTAATTTAATTTTGGTTAAAATAACATTCGCTCAGACACAAAAAATCAAGAAAAGCGAAAGTGATTCTTAAATTAATAATTTTCTTCTGATGATGAAGTGATTCTTAAATCAATAATTTTTACATACTAATTTCGAAAAACACAAATGCCGAGGCGACTTATGTAGTGAATAAGGACACTATAATTTCAAAGAATAGGATAGATATATAGTTTTTAATGATAATTAAAAAGTCAATTAATTTTACTAAATCTTTTAAAGATTCTGCCAAATAACGGTTTTTTCTGTTAAAAAATGTATATTTAATGGGTTTAAACATGAAATAAAAAGTTTACGGAACCATATTGTATAGTATGATCAAAATTTAATATGATTTTGTAAAATTTTATGACAAACTGCGCGTCTCTCAAATGACAATGAAGAATAATATTTTTTTTCAAGATTAGAACTCATTTCGAATATGAAACTTCATGGGCGCACAAATGTCAAAACAGGCCTATTATTTAATAATAATAATGAATTTTATTTTCTCATCACAAACAGTTTTACACAAGTTCCATGTAATCATAACAGTAAAGACACAAATGATAAATTTGTGTGAGACTGATGCCTGTGGTAGGTATGATAACATACCTGTTTTACAGGTCATCAGGCTCCCACCACCTTGGTATATAAGAAGAATTATTATGATTTACAAAAATTATTATGTGATGATTTTAGGCACTATTTTTATCAATGTGTTAGAATCGAGAGACTGCTTTAAATGCATGACAAGACTGTCCAGGGCTCATTAGGACAGTCAGTTTCCAAAATGTATGATAGATCGCATGCGTTAATTTATCGTTGCCGTTCGTCTTTTTTAATATGGTTGTTTTGTCTCGAGGTAATTGCTAGAAAAATATATTCTCACCTGAACTTTGGCCGTCGTATCCCCTCTATGCAATATATACAGATGGTGTACAGAAGCGAGACTAGGCCCGCACGGGTGGGGGTTTATTCTGAACACGTGGAAATCGTGTCCGCGTCGGTCGGCGGTCACGAGCAGCATGCCGCTCGCGTCGAACTTCAGCGCGATGATGGCCTCCGAGTGCGCCACGAAGTGGGCCACTATCGGGTCGCATTGCTCGTCGCTGTCTTGGCTCTCTTCTTCGTCGTTACCCTGTAGTAAAAGGTAGTGTGTTTTAAAATTATATCATCTTCAGCTTATTAATTTCCCCACTGCTAAGGCAGTCCTTTTCTATAGATGGAATAAGGAGATTGGGCCTTGGATTGGTGGGTCTAACGACTGCAGATGCAGCCGGGACCGACGGCTTAACCTGCATTCCGAAGCACTAAGGAGCTCGAGAATCGTGATAGTCAATTTTTAGTCACCCATCCAATGACCGACCTCTGCGAAAGTTGCTTTACATGAACAAACGCAGCCGAATGCGAATTAGCTACTATAAGACAGTAATATAACTAGAATTTGTGATTTAAATATTTTTGCTGATAGTGATGTGAAATAGTATTAGTTGTACAAAACAACGGGACAGCTGCTGAAATGGCCTGAAGTATAGATGTATCACATTGTCATAAAAAAAAGCGTAAGTAATTTTAAATTAAATAACTTCAACTACTTGTTGTAGTAATAACGTAAATAATGAGTCAATTGGTATGTTAATTGTAGTAAATCAGGGGTGCTCAAACGGTCGATCGCGATCGATCTACGAATATCTATATATGCTATGGTACACCCTACCTACCTAGGTAGGGTGTACCATAACATATACCAATCGTGTATGTACGACATCCCTGCATCACACATACTTGCAGCCTCTCAGAGTCGATCATAAGTAGTCTAAAAATTTTGAGGTAAATCGCCAGCAGTTCAAGTTTGAGCACCCCTGTAGTAAATAATAAGTCAATTGGTATGTTATCAATATCTTCAAATTCCGTAATTGAACGCGCATATACGAATCGCTCAAATTTTGGAGGTACGAACCCAACATCAAACTAATGAATACAAAAAATCCTCTTATGATTCGACTTGTATGAACCCGCGCAAACCTTTACTCAACTATGGCCGCGTGCAACAGTGGTGTTATTGCGGGTACAATAAGGAACCGCCCTCAACAACGGCTAACTAGAGCCGAGGTCCGAGTCTCAGAGACGCCCTCGAGTTGAGCCGACCTCCTCAGGTTCGTGTGGTGTAGAGGCTCCAGACAGAGAGGAGACTCCCCTCGTGGGGAGATGCCAACCATCTGGTATACTTCTAGAGGCATTCGCCCATTCTTGGCTTGAGGTCCCCTTAGGATATCGCCGTCCCCAAGCCCGGTGACGCTGTAAAGGTCATTTGCCTTTGACGACCTCCGTGGCCGAGTAGTTCGTAAGCCGGGTTTCATGGTGTCGCCGACTCGAGAGGTCCCGGGTTCGAATCCCGGTGGGGGCAGATGTTTGTGTGATCTATACAAGCATTTGTACTCCAGTCATGGATGTTTAATATGTATTTATATGTAAATATACTTATATATGTTATGGTGTCGATTCTAAAATAATTCACTAAACCGAAACTTAAATTTGACAGCAGTGTACCCTTGTGATTCTCTATACAGAATGAAAAGGAGAGATTCATGTTAAATTTAGTTTTGAGTTTAGAGAATTAATATATATAATCCATAATCGCCACCACTGTATATGTATTCTATCCATTACCCTAGTATCCCGTAACACAAGCCTTACAGTGGTTAATTTGGGGCTAGGTTAATTAATGTGAGTGTTGGGAATATAATATATATATATATATATATATATATATATATATAAATCTGCGACCAACAGCATACACACTCCAAAAAAACCTACCTCGATGTCTATAATGGTGACAACGCCAGGCTGCTGTATGTCAGCGTTAGGCGGTGACGGTGACTGAGAGGTACTGCGTCCTCCGGCCAGACTGTGGGCGACGCTCTCGCCCAGCCCGCGCAAACCTTTACTCAGCGATTTGGCCGCGTGCAACACCGTGGCTGTGTAGCTGGTAACACCTTCGCCTTATTTAAAAATAAGATCTTTGTCTTATGTTTGTCATTAACTTTGCCGTATAAAAACAAATATACTCCAAATTGCTTAAGAAAAGTGCACGAATAAACGTCGGTGCGAGCGGCGTTCTATGTCAACTTATGCAGATAACATTAACACATTTGATCAAATTAACATATTATGTAATTTAATTATGGTACAGCGACAGACTGTACAAATGACAAATTAAAACTTACACATTATTATAGAAAATTATTGTATTACAAAACTTGCACCCCAATTGATATTATGTAATGGTAGTATGTATGTAATGGCTAAATTAAAGGTTCAATGTCCATTGTTTACAAGCGAGTATTTTCAAACAACTAAAAACCAAATGTGCGTAATTTTGCTACTGAAACTTATTGAGAAATTGAATCTTATATATCAATATCAACAAGTCAAGTTAGCTAAACTGTCAAAATTATACATATGACTGAGCTTTATATTAATAAAGAATATAATATAATTAACAATGAATTGAGAAAATTTTACAGTTTCTGGCAACTTCATGTGTGCCCTCTGTATTTGAAACTTGTTTTAAAAATACCATCTGTATCATAGGAAATAATTATTTGGTTAAATATTTGAGCAAAACATTTTAAAGCATTTTTTAGGGTTCCGTACCTCAAAAGGAAAAACGGAACCCTTATAGGATCACTTTGTTGTCCGTCTGTCCGTCCGTCCGTCTGTCAAGACCCTTTTTCTCAGGAACGCGTGGAGGTATGAAGCTGAAATTTATATCAATTACTCAGGTCTACTGTCCCTTGAAGCTGTGAAAAAATCAAACTTCTAAGCCAACGCAATCAAAAGATACAGCCGTTTATGCCGCAAATTTTCGACACTTGCAAGGGAATCAAAACCTACAGGGTGCTTCCCGTGAACTCAGAATCTTGAAATTTGGTACCAAGCAACGTCTTATAGCATAGATAAAGGAAAAATTACGAAAACCATAAATTTTTAGTTACATCACATAATATATATTTTTTTAATAATTTTAACCTTACTACCCATTTCCTCATAAACGTATTATGGTATTATGGTAGGTATTAAATTGAAATTCATACCAAATACTCAGGTCTATAATACCTTTAAGCTATAACAAAATCAAACTTCTATGTCAACGCAATCAAAAGAAACAGCAATTTAAGCTGCATATTTTGAAACTCGCAAGTACTCGCAAGGGAATCAAAACCTAAAGGGTACTTCCAGTCGACCTAGAATCTTGAAATTTGGCATGAAGCAACGTTTTATAGCACACATAAAGGAAAAATTCCGAAAACCTTAAATTTTTAGTTACATTACAAAATATATATTTTTTAATAAATATAAACTTATTACTTTTTTCCTCATGAACGCGTAGAGCTATCAAGTTGAAATTCATATAAAATACTTAGATCTAATATAAGTGTTTCAGTTATATTATAGATAAATGATATGTGTTAATATAAAATAAAGGATTACTTAAACGATAAAGAGATCTTTGTCTTAAATTTATGCTCCTCCATCTTTCCCCATTGTAATGTTATGAATTTCATTTTGCAATAAAAATACCATAGTTATGACTCGATTGTCGTAATGAACGAACTTTGTAAACCTTGCAGGTTTGTACGGAACCCTCGGTGCGCGAGTCCGACTCGCACTTGGCCGGTTTTTTTTTTCTAGATGTTATCTTCGTAAGATTTGATATCAATTTAAAAAGACAAAATCTTTGTTTGTTTGTGTTTTATTCAAAATCATTATTCAGCCTGACACACCTTGTCCAAACAAAATGTTTCCTAGTAATTTATTATTTTTAATTATGAAAAGATATATTTCATACATTTTCATGGCAATTAATTATTTACAGGTTCTGTAGTCTTAAATAATAATAATGGTCTAATATTTATAGGCCACATTGAAAGAATCTATCTGAAAAAGTAAATCATGTCTGTGGATAACTATTTAATTATTTATTAAAATAGTTAAAGACAGAATAATAAAGTATAAATAAATTGAACTTCAAATCAAGGGCGAAGACGCGTTTTATTAAAAAAATTAAAATAAAATTAATTTTCCAAAATGCATTATTCGAAGATTTACCTCTTTATAAAAAAAATATAAATACTATAAATTTATACACCAACCAATTAATAACAAATAAATGAAAACCCATCATCGTCATATTAAGTGAAGCATAAACGATTTATTTTGCAATACAAGAATGATATGCATTGCATGCACTAACAATAAGGTCAACACCTTTAATCACCAAGTCAATAACTGTGAATGATTAAAACAAAAGATATATTTGCAGCGTACAAGTTGTAACCTAGATAGTAGTTAATTATGCAAATGATTGTAAAGTGGAACAATTTATTTATTTCAAACCTGAGTGTGTAACAAAATATTTTTTAAATATCATCATTCTTTTTGTCATAATTGTATATATGTTACCGGCCAAACCCGATTTCAGGACAATCTAGTTTTGCCTAGGCTAAACTGGTTCTTCCTATACGCGATAGGATTAACTAGTATAGCCTAGTCCAAACTAATTTATCCTAAGCGCGACAGGATAAACCAGTTTAGCCTAGGCCAAACTAGATGATCCTGATATAAATACGCACACTCTAGGATAAACTAGTACGACCTAGTCTAAACCAATTTAGCAAAGCGGAAAGTAATTGAACAAACATGTCAGGACTTGTACAGGGCGCGTCATGTAAAAAGAACGCTGGAAGAAAGTGGAGGGAGTGTTTTTTCTGTAATTGGTTTTTGTTTAACTCTTTTGTTGTTGCCGGGAGTTCGGAAGACAGTAAAGCCGGGTACGCATTAGCGATCTGTTACCGTAACATGCGTGATACAGTACGAAGTTCTAGTGTGTACGCTAGTAGCTCAGTTGTGAACGTTGGCTCGCTTCAAACCGCACGCGTACCGTTCTCGCAGCAGGTTATCGAACCACGTACACACTATGCTTTTTGGTTACAGTGCGTGCAACGGTTATGGTTACAGCTCGCCAATGAGTAACTACCCGGCTTAAGAAATTCCGAATCATTCGAACCTTTTACAATTCATCTCACTGTAAACTCAAAATATTTTAAGAAAAGTTTACTAGAAAAAAAAAACCACGCAGACCAGGCAGCGGACCGGACTCGAACCCGCACCCTTCGCAATCCGGGCGAATGCACTGACCATTATGCTACCACGGCCCTATTCGCCGCGTCGAAATTTTCCTAGCCTTAAACTGCAAGGCAGCGCCATCTCTTCGCATTGTAGGTTGCAACCACGCAACCCACAATGTCAAATGAATACTTTTTCAAGTATTAAACGTTTGAAAGAAGAAATAGCAATTATAGTTATTGTTTTTATTTATTTTTAAGCATTTAACTGCTAGGTGTTTAAATCTAAAGAAAAGTTTACTAGAAAAATTAAACTTTTCTTACTTTTCTTTGTATTACTAATTATCCATAACTTGTAACGATGAATCATTATGGTTTTAATAAAAAATATTATTTTTCCAATTACGGATTATTTTATTCAGTTTATCTATTTATTTTGACTTTCTAGATATACTATAATGTTTACACTAGGCCATACTAGTTTATCCTAGAGTATGCGTATTTTTATCAGGATCAACTAGTTTCGCCTAGGCTAAACTGGTTTATCCTATCGGGCTTAGGACAAATTAGTTTGGACTAGGCTATACTAGTTAATCCTATCGCGCATAGGAAGAACCAGTTTAGCCTAGGCAAAACTAGTTTGTCCTGAAATCGGGTTTGGCCGGTAACATATATATCAGTAATTATTTCTCCAATCCTTTATTTGAAGCCCATAAACCTATCATTATTGTATCTAAACAAGGACTTTGAACGCAACATGAATATGGAGTTGAGGTGTTGCTATGTGTGAATAATTATTAACACTATTGAGTATATACCCAAAATTTCTACCACAACCTTCTAAGGGGTTAAAGTAACATTTTGAACTTTGTTGGTAAAAACTCAGGAATTACTGCGGCAAAATTGCAGCTCAATTGACAAAGACTAATTCTTACCTTCACATCCTCCACTGCTTCTTTTAGATTGATTCACCTTCCTGTCAGCATATGCCAGCCATCGGTCACCCAGGGCCAACGGATTGATAGGCATGCTCCCTCCAAGGGGACAAGGGCAAGGGTAACAGGTGGTGACGGTCATTCGGTCCTCTAAGGTCGCAGCGTCGAACACAGCGAATCTCTCCGAGAATGATACCACTACTGAGCGCTTGTTAGCCAACACGTCCAATATGGGATTCTTGAACTTGATGCTTTTCACCTATTGAAGAGGGCTCAATGTATATGCTACAGAAATTATAATTATATCGCATAAACATTAACAAAACTGGCCGTTAAAGAAACCCACCTAAAAAGTAAAATAATCGAATTGTATAAACTTTGTGCTTCTTTATAATTATAACTACTGAAAGCTTTAACTGATTTAGACATAGGTCCAAACTAACCTAACTTATTCAATAAATAAAATTGGTTTTCTCTATGAGTGCATAAAATACTTATTTTGAGAACTTTATTAATTGGCTAAAGTGAATACATCAAATGTGGTATTTGTAAATAAGATAGAAAGTGTATTTTTATAATATTTGTACATAATAAAAATAGAAGCTTTAGTTAGTTATCTTGGGTATTGGGAGTTGTAGAAATTCAACTTACCTGTTCACCTCCCCTAATAGAAATGAAGCTCAAGGAGCAAAAAGTCGGTCCGGGACTAGCAGAGTCACACAGAGCGATGAGGGGCCTCTTCGATGCGAAGCAGTCGCCGTGCTGCGGAGTAGGCAGTATACGGAGCACCCTCACTGTGCCCTGGCGCCACGACAGGACCTCCTGCGCCTCGCTGTTGGGCGGGATCAGCCACACTTGAACCCCAGACCCGTACCCCAGGATGAGCAGCAGGGGGGATATGTCATGGTCGCCGTCGCCTTCAGGCGTCGGTTCGTTGATGTCTGCAGTTTCGAACCTGATGAATCAAAATAAAACAATCATCAGATTAACAATACAATTGTTCTTATCAATCATCATACTCTCGTTCATTTCATTTGTCAAAGCTTTTGAGACATTTTGCATTTTTTAGAAATACATCTAGTAATTTATTATTTAAATAAAGTAAAATAATATTTTAAGTTTCTGATTGTAAAAATAATCTTAAATGAAAATAAATTAAATGTTTTTGTTTCATTATGCTTCATCAGTGCAACTTACTCCTATATTAGTAAGAGATTAGACTTTTTTCCAATCCTGTATGATAGCCTCTTTCCTATCTGGACACTCACATTTACGATGAACTAAAGTTTTTTATTTCAAAATTGATTGCCTTTAAGTATAATAGTAAGCTTTGAAGTAGATTTTGACAGATTTCTGCTATGCATTACCGAATGATACATGATTATCCGAATTAATTGACTAATAATAAAGAAAAATGAACTGTCACACACAGAATTAACCTTATTAAGTTTAACAAACACAGTTCTACAATACTAAATACAATAATAGAGGTACATAGTAGAAAAAAAAAGTGCGATGCAAAACATGTAGCTTTCAACAATAACAGTTGACAAAAATGTAGACTCCAGCGAGTTCCAACTTGTTACAACAAAAGAAAATAAAAAAACCTAATTTTAATTTTTTATATTTTGCTTATAACCGATTCCGATAATTGGGGATTCGGTTAATCGGCATTTGGATAATCAGCGTTCATGTACTTACCTAGCCCATTGGATGACGTCCTTTGGATCTACATTTGAAGATGAGGATAGTGTGACATCGTTGATGAACCCAGAGACTGCATCGATAATGCTGCGGTCACTTGGCGGTTGCGAAGGAACCGTGAGCGGTCCGCCGGATCGAGCGTGTCGCGGCGACTCCGCCGACATTGTAATAAATTATAACCTGTTAATACACCAATATAATTAGACTCACAATGTGAAGTTAATTTTCTTTTCTAGCGCTATAAACCACTGTTGTTAGATGGAAACTCTACCAAACCATGTTCAGGGGCGTAAAAAGCATAATAGCATGCCTATGAAAAGTGTGTTTTCAAGTCATATATTATCATAAAAAAATTATAGTTTAGATATCATAATGCATAGCATACCTTGCGTAATGGGGCACAGTATGTACCTACCTTAATTCTCTGAAAATCCTGTATTGTGAAAGAATGCTTACTATCCAACTTTTAAAATAGGAATAGTAAGGTAGTTTGATAAGGTATGTAAACTACCTACATTGCTGGATACTAAAAAGTTAAATTTTAGGTAGTAAAAAGTAGATAGTAGCAGCATAGAAAAGTATGTATAGCTATCAAAACTACATAATTAAATCGAATTATTCACATTGACAGTGAAAACAATAGGACTTTGATAAGATTTATTTTGATATAAGGATGTTATTGAATATGTAGGTAGGCAATAAATTTTGCATCATTCAAAGAAAGAACATTAAAAAAATATATAATATACATTTCTTATTGGAAGACTATTTTTAGAAAACACTTATAAAGCTGCTTATACTTGATTTTCCTGATGAGTACTTAGGCATACTAAAATACCCACTAATTAAAAATTTGCAGATCATAAAATTAGTACCCTGTTACATGTTTATTTATAGAAAATGGTTCAATACAAATACAAACTATACTGCTCAAGGTTGAGAGAGCTGTTGTTGTTATCAAAATTATCTGGGCTCAGCTTTCCATTATATGTAATTGAGTTGCAAGCTGAAATTTTTGTCACGCAAACTATTAACTATTAAAAACACGTACACGAAATCTTTTTAGGCGGAAACGAATAGAACTCGAGAAAAAAATTATTGAAAATTAATGTTTTTGTAGGTTAAGAGTCAATTTTGACAGCAATTTTGATCAGTGCTGCCATTTTTTTATGCAAAAATAACATGTTTCTCGTTGTCTATGGTAAATATAAGTTTATTATGTTGGTACTATTGTCAAAATGTGACAATTTACCGCCATTAATGAGATCTGTCAGTCAGTGTTTGTGTTCGTCGCAATTGAGAGCTTTTTCGTACTCCTGTTGATATTAATATCGTCTGACTACCATGGCATCCTCAAAGCCTTCGGCCTCGAGTTCTGCTGTTCCTTCGCCTGAAGAGTCGAGTGTAGTGCGAGTTTTGGACTCTAATGAGCCGCTTGTGTCGTGATACTTCACACTAGGTTAGGTTAGGTTAGTGTTGTGACCTTAACGCGCGAGCCGAGCGAGCGAAGCGAGCGTGCCGCGGCAGCGGCCGGCGAAGCGCCAGAAAGAAAAATTCGTTAATAGAGACTTTTTCTACAAAAAAATCTAGGCCCTGGAAGTACAGTTAAAACCCCTCTAATTTTTTATAGTTATCATTTCTGTAAAAAAAGCGCCGGGAGGGGGGGGGGGGGGGTTACCCTTCCCTCTGCGGGGTCTTCCCTTATACCTATCCCCCTGAAATTCCACTACATTTAACAGATTTAATGAATTTTTAGGTTAGGTAAAAAAAAAAACTGCATTTCCGCCAAAAATCTTTTATGGCGGGGAGGTCGGGGGGAGCCCCCCCTCCCCCTCCCCTACAAATTACCCCGAAATTCGATTACATATAATGGAATTAAGTACCATTATCTGTAAATAACAAGGCTGCTAAGATGCTATCCATTAAATTAAGAGATTACATAATTAAATAGGCAACATAATCTTAAACTTACCTATACAAAAACAAAAAATGTATTTAAAATCGTAATCTACAATGTTGTTGCGAAACAGCTGGCTGTCCGATATGCATTATACAAATTTGTATGTGTTTATATGCAAGATTGCAAGACAAGGAGCCGAGGACAAAGGAAATCGATGGAACCGTTTATCACTTTACTAACATGAAACCAAGGCTAATTTGTCAACAAGATAAGCTGACAATAATTTTGCGTCTTTAACTCACCTTTTTTAAGACAATATTTCTCAAATTAGATCCATTTTATGAATAAAAATGCAACTGCGTCGTTACTGCTGGCAGTCGAAAACAATGACGTCACAAGAATTTAAAAACAAAACTAATCAAAACATCACTTTCACGCGATCCTAATTACTAGATCTCAAAAACCTTAACACTTTTCGATAAATAAAATGCGAATAAATTAAAATTATATACAAAATATATACAACGATTCACGAAACAGATGATTTGAATGACAAATTGACAATAGTTTGAACAGCCACTATTGGTTTTATTTGTGTTGTGTGATTGACTGTGTCTGTGTGCGTTTGTGTGAGCGTTTCGAAATCAAAGAAAATCGAAGCACAGACAGACGTTCTTGGGTATCACTCAAAACACTATTGTGTACATTTTAAAAGTTCTGTGCCTCTCTATTCTAAACTGGCATGCTCTTACAATATTTATTTTATTTTAATTTGAGGCCCGAAATTAACTAAAACAAATTCTATCATTAAAAAAGTTAAAAATTCTATTTTCAAACTGGTTTTTGAACAACACGTTACTTTGTCTTTGTCAGTGGAAAATGGGATCAAATTTTAACTTTATAATGATTAAAAATTACCCAAAGCTAACCAATTTATTATTATCATTAATTATTATAAAAACTGATCTTAGTTTATCTGAAAAATACAATGTGCTATTTATATGCGTCGATGATTTACGACATCTAGCGGAAACAGATGTTTTACTGCCAAATATGATGAAAATGGCGGCAAAAGGTATAAATTTCAAAAGTGCTTTTGCGCAGGTAAGTTTTCATATCATGAAAATTATTTGAAATCAGGAATATTATTGCGTTTCATGTCATTATTGGTCAGTATAGTACAATTATAAATACTTTAATTTCAGCAAGCACTTTGCGCTCCTAGTCGTAATTCGATTTTAACAGGACGAAGGCCAGATTCGTTGCGTTTATACGACTTCTATAGTTATTGGAGACAAACAATAGGAAATTTTACAACATTTCCCCAGTTTTTCAAAGAAAATGGCTACGAAACCTTTTCAGTGGGCAAAATTTTCCATCCTGGGTTAAGTTCTAATTTTACTGATGACTATCCTTACAGTTGGTCTTTTCAACCGTATCATCCTCCGACTGAGATATACAAAGATGCGCCTGTTTGTGAAGATCCTCTTACCAAAAAACTTGAAAGTGATTTAATATGCCCAGTTATTATAAAAGAACAACCTGGACAGACTTTACCCGATTTACAATCTCTGAAATATGCTTTAAATATATTACGTCAGAAACACAACAAACCTTTTTTGTTAGCAGTTGGTTTCCATAAACCGCACTTACCTTTGAAATTCCCTAGGAAATATCTGGGTAAGTTTCGTTAGCATAGTGAATTCCCTTCCATGTTTTTAGTTTCATCATTGACGCTAACTTTCTAACAACTACTACTTACTAACGTTTGGCATTGCCCACGGAGCAAATATGATAAATTCTGTAGCCATCAGTCAGTCAGTTTATTTTAGTTTCTGAAACTGCTATCCATTGACAGAGCATTATTAATGTGAACAATAAAATTAAAGGTCGTGGTGTGAAGTAGACACGAGCTTGTCCCGAGGCGGAGCGATACGTTACGATACTGATTAGTATGCGTTGCAATAGGGAGTTTCATACTATAAAGAAAACTGAACATCGCATCGTTACGGTGACGATCCCCTTCCGTGTTGATGTCTGCTACTCTACGACCTTTAGCTGGCACAGTACTTTTTACACCCTGTCCAGCTCATAACTTGCATTAATTAGCCACAATTTTAATTTAACTTAAATTAAAATTACGTATCTTAGGTGCATTTATACTATATTCTATAATAGTAACGCTAGAATTATTTATTTAGCTCTTGCATTCTGTGCTCTTATCAGTTTACGTAATCCACATGATATCATCGCAGTTTTACTTTTACAGAAACCAAAAACAATTTATCGATGTACTTGTATCTAGGTACATACGGATTTTATATTTTCTGTGGGGTTCTCCCACGATCTTATTTATACATGTTATATAAGCATTTTGAAATATATAAAATATTATATAATATGTATAAATTTACATTTTATTACTATAAATAAATATAAAACATTAATTAAATACGAAATATATTCACATTAATATACAATAACATTTCTTATATATACATTATTTACATTTAATATATAATAATATTTATTAATTATATTCATATACTGTCATCACAAGCACAAACATTTATTCTCAAAACAATTTCACTATATCGTGCCGTGCATCAGCCGATCCATAACAGTCGTGTGGCGAATGGACACGCGCACTCACTTCGCCGCCTATCGTTCGGCAAACCTGCCGGCTCACGCGCATAGGTCACGTTGCACGACAGTCGGAACCTATACTCGACACCGTACGCACGCTAAATTGCTCCGCGCTTTATAGCCCCGACACTCGTAGTTGTAGTCAACCGTATTATTGTGTATGTTGCTTTGTCTGTGCTTTTCCTTTATACTTTTGTGTTTGTTTATCACTGACTGTGCTCTGTACTCCTTCTATTATATATACTTTCCTCTGTGCTTGTGCAATAAACTATTAACTGTGAACACCCCACAACGCTATACTGGTGACCCCTGTAGAACATACAAAATGAGTGATAGCAGTGATTCCGCCAAAACGGTTGACTCCCGTAAGGAAAATGTCACTACCCGCCACCAAAAGAAAAAGCGCGTTTCCATTGGCACACTTCACGAGTCGTCCGATTTTAAACCGCATACCCTGAAGGTTCCGTCATTTTCGCCGGATGATCCCGAACTATGGTTCGCGCTTTTGGAGGGCCAATTCGGAACTTATGGCATTACAGATAACGCAATCAAATTTAATAATGTCGTCACCAACCTAGATATTACCCACGCGAAGGCTGTTAAAGACATTTTTTCAATTCAATTCAATTCAAACTCATTTATTCAGTCTAGGCTGTTACAAGCTCTTGTGAAAGTCAAACGCTACGCCATCGGCGAGAGACCTTGTACTGAGAAGAACCGGCAAGAAACTCAGCAAGGGCTATTTTTTTCTCCCTGTTTTGTTTCACACAGTGTCGTCAATTGAAAGATGACATCAAAAATTGAATACATGTGTTGATGTCAACTTCCATCACATTAGTATTATTAATTAACAAAAGTTAAGTATAACTAGGTACTATTTTTAAATTTAGAAGTGGCGATTAAACAATTTTCAACCAAATTAGCAAAGTAAAACGACAGTCTATTATGTTAAGCCCAAGGTGACTTATCATTTATGAAATCTTTTACAGTATAGTAACCTTTCTTAAGGAGACATGTTTTTATGCACACTTTAAACTTATTAAAAGGTAAATTAATTATTTCTTTTGGTATTTTATTATAGCAACATATACCTTGACCCACAAATGAACCAAGAACCTTTTGGAGTCTCAATGGTGGCAATTTTAGTTTATCTTTATTTCTGGTATTGAAATTATGTACATCATCGCGCCTCGTATATAAATTTATGTTCTGACGCACAAACAATATACAATTGTAAATGTATTGAGGGGCAACAGTCATTATACCTATTTCTTTAAATTTATCCCTAAGAGAAGTTCGAGATCCCAAGCGGTAAATAGCTCTTATAGCTCGTTTTTGAAGAATAAAAACTGTTTCAATGTCTGCGGCCGTGCCCCATAATAGAATGCCATACGACATAGTGCTGTGAAAGTAGCTGAAGTATATTGTCCTAGCAGTGTCGACATCTGTAAGCCGTCTTATTTTATAAATTGCATAAGCAGCAGAACTTAGTTTACCGGCTAGTGTTGTAATGTGAGGGTTCCATTGAAGTTTGTGGTCTAGTGTTACGCCTAAAAAAACGGTTGTATCGACTAAAATTAGTTTTTCACCATTTAGAATTATATCCCCCATTTCAACATGCTTTACATTCGGCAAAGTAAATTTCACACATTTAGTTTTGCTCGCATTCAGTTTAAGATTATTAGAAGAGAACCAGTGAAGTACCTTGGAAAGTGCATTGTTTACATCGTCATAATTTGTTTTACACCTGTCAACGTTAAAAATTAGCGAGGTGTCATCTGCAAACAAAACAATTTCACAAAAATTTTCTACAAAGAAAGGTAAATCATTAATGTAAATTAAAAAAAGAAATGGACCTAAAATTGAACCCTGAGGAACGCCTATTTTCACATGAGATCCGGCTGATTTTGTACCGTTAATATCAACTATTTGTGTCCTTTCTGTTAAATATGATTGCACTAATTTTTGTGCGGAATCTTTTATGCTGTAATGATTTAATTTCCGTAACAAAGTTTGATGATTAACGCAATCAAACGCTTTAGATAAATCGCAGAAAACCCCAAGAGCATTCTGCGACTTTTCCCAAGCATTAAATATATATTTTAGCATAGTGGCCCCAGCATCAGTCGTGGAACGGTTTTTAGTGAAACCGTACTGCGCTCTGTGTAAAAGTTTATTAATGTTAAAATGAGTCAACAATTGTTCTAACATTATTTTTTCAAAGATTTTACTCAATGCTGGTAATATAGATATTGGCCTATAGTTGCTAGGATCTTTACAATTTCCATACTTAAATAAAGGTATGATTTTACTGAATTTCATAAGATCAGGGAATACTCCCTGATCTATACATGAATTAAAAATATCAGCTAGGTAAGGGGCTATAGAATGTATAATATTATTTATGACTTTGACAGATATACCCCATAAATCAGATGCATTTTTCATTTTTAATGAATGGAAAACTTTAATTATTTCAAAAGAACTAACGTGCTTGAAATTAAATAATAAACCACACGGAGGTACATATTTTTGTAACAGAGCTGTAGCAGTATCAGACGATGAGTACAAGTTGGAAGTAGTTTCTAATGGTATATTCATAAAAAAAATATCGAAAATATCTGCGACTTCATGTTTCGGTTTCACGAGATTATTATTGATTTTAAGAACCATGCTATTTTCACGAGGCTTACACTTGCCACTTTCGCGCTTAATGATATCCCAAGTGGTCTTTATTTTATTACTAGATTTTTTAATTTTATCCCTAATAAAATTGGACTTTGCAGTATTAGTACATATGCTTTTAAACAATTTGGAATATTTTCTAACATAGTTAATAAACTCAGGATCCTGGTTATATTCTTTGATTCTATAAAGCTCATACAGCCTTGTTCTACTCTTATATATACCACTTGTCGCCCAGTCACAGAACTGCAACTTCTGTGTACATTTAATGGTTTTCAGTCTGAACGTATTTTGAAATTCATTATTTATTAAATTAAAAAGATTTTTGTACAAAATATCCGGATCATCATGCGTCCAAGGCATTAAAGGAAGTTTATCGCTAATGTTATTTTTAAAATTATTAACGCGCTCATTTGTTATAGGTCTACACTCTATTATGTTCGGCTCAGTACTGACATTGAAACTATATGTTGTCTTTAAACCGAGATGATCGGAAGTAATGTCACTAAAGACTGACTTTTCAATTGCATCCAATTCAGAAAAAAAGTTGTCTAAACAAGTGGCTGAGTGAGATGTTACTCTGGTTGGTTCAGTAAACTGGAAATTTAAATTAAAACATTTAAACAAAGTAATTAACCGAAGACTCAAAGAGCTATTTTCAAGTAGATTGACATTAAAATCACCACATACTATTACAGATTTATTTTTTAATTTATTGAGAGAGTCCTCCATGACTGATTCAAATGTACCAAAGTTTCCTGAGGGGGGCCGGTATACACATACTATATAAAAATTTACTAACTCTACACACGACAGCTCAACATGGCGTTCCACTGAAAGGCTTACAATGTCCTTTCTTTCCTTACATTTTACATGATGTTTTACAAAAATTAAAGACCCTCCATAAATAGCTGTCCTGCGTACAAATGCACTGGATAGTTGAAAATTGTTTAAATAAAATGACATTTCATGTTGTTGCAGCCAGTGTTCAGTGATACACATGATATGAGTTTCATGACTTTTAGCTAATAATTCTAACTCTAAGTCTTTGCCGGCCAAGCCCTGGATATTTTGGTGAATAATATTGACATAATGGGGCTTAGCTTTTGTCATACGCTTCAGTTTAAATCTAAAGAGTTTATTGTAGAACTACAATTTATCAAAAGATTTGAATTAGTACAAGTACTAATGTCAGTTTTAAAAGAAGTAATTACAATTTGTAAATTAAAAGCTAACAAATTAGCTAATTGTGTCCGAGATTTCTTTGAAAGATACATAGTATCTGAAGTCAGTTTAAAATTACTAATAAATTTATTAATGTCAAAAAACAAAATGACGTCACTATGACG